TATTGACATTGGGCCCAGGTATCCACAAAAATATAAAATTGAAAGATGTGTTTTACTGATATTGGGCCCAAGTATCCATAAAATGTAAAATTGAAAGATCTGTTTGTATTGATATTGGGCCCAGGTCTCCGTAAAACTGTAAAATTTTGTTCTACAAGAGCCCAGGTTCGTGTTGGAAATGTCACTAGATCTCGCTTCATTCTTCACGAGGGCGCTGTTCATGCGATCCATATCAAATCCTGAAAGCAGCAGAAGCGCGAGCAAGAGCTGCCACACCCGCGAGCTGTATCGTTTCAGGCTTACGGTTGGATGCAGTTAAGAAACGCAGATGCTTCATGTTGTTCTCAAGCTCTTTGATCTCTTTCTCGTGGCTTGAGAGCTGACCCTCTATTCTGAGCTTCTTCCTGGCAGCTGGTGCGTGACGTCTCACGCTCCACACGGTTTAGGGTGTAGGGCTTAGGATTTAGGGGTTTAGGGTCAGGGCTCAGGGGTTTAGGTTCAGGGTGTAGGAGTTTAGGTCAGGGTTTAGGGGTTAGAGCACATCAGCAGAAGACGCACTAGTTTCCATCTTCTTTACTGTTTACGCAAAGCACACATGGAGAGTAGCAGGGTAGTGCATGCGTCTCAGACAATCCCAAAGCGTGGCGGCAGAACTGCTCCAGTACCATCTTCTTGTTCTTGTTCTCGTTCAGCGTGGCCTGTGCAGGAGCGAGCCAGTCCCCATCTCCATAAATGAGGGCCACATGGAAACGAAAATGGACAATGAAATGGAACTCGGGTTTCTATAGGGGCGATATGGGGTGTGAAGGAACTCTAATCAGGAATGAGAACTTAGGTTTTGGGATTCAACGGCTAAGGCTTAGGTGCTGAGCAGCATGCCAGGAATCACTCACTAAGCAGGGACGCCTTGAGCTTATCCGTCTCGCTGGAGATGGACAAGAGCTGAGTTTGCTTCTGGATCCAATCCTGCGCAGATGCGGGCTTATAGTCCTTGAGATACATGGGGAGTTATAAGTAGGATCACAGATAAACCCCTTAAACGAAGCCATACCCATAAGTCTCTTTTCCTGACTATTAGTGCCTATTAGTATAAATTTTCTAACTACGACCAAGAAACCCATAACTTCTAAAACCAAAATCTCTTAAACCTGGTAAGTTCGGCTAAATTTTGCTTAGGCCAGAGCAGGAACGTAGCGCGGCCTCTTGAGCTCTTAGTCTTGCTTGTTTAGGGTTTAGGGTTTAGGGTTTAGGGTTTTGGGTTTAGGGCGTAGGGTTTAGGGTTTAGGGTTTAGGGTTCAGGGTGAATGGTATAGAGTGTGGGGTTTGAGGTTTTTACGGTTTAGGGCTTAGGTTTAGGATCCATGGCTTAGGGTTTAGGGTTAAGGTGTAAGGGTTTAGGGTTTACCACAAACACGCCAGGTTCTTGAACATAAGCAGGTAGTAATAACTGGGGAATCAGGATAATCATAACTACACACAATTTTAAGAAATTTCAAGGCCTATAGTCCCCCTTACGTAGATCGAATATAGGGTATATGCGGCTCTTACTAAAATATACCGAACGCCATATTCTATCTACCTAAGCGGAACTATACCTATTACTACCCATGATCCCTCAAATAAGGCGCGCGGCCTGGAGTTGCTACTATTTGCCGTGTCTTTCTCCTGTTCTTACCTGAACCCTGCACCCCAAACCCGCTTGCACGGCGATCTAAGGGTCTTGGGATAAGTTTGGGGGCTAGGGTTTAAGGGCGTGTCACGGGTTAATAGTTGAGTATGGAAGGATCTATGTACCTATAGTATAGATACATAAATAGATAGAGGGTTTCAAGGTCTTAGAATCAGGAGCTTAAGGTCGAGCGTTTGCCACGCGCATCCCAGCTTCTGTGCGGTTGAGGGTTCACGGTTTAGGATCCTACCTTCCCCATCTACCTCACAAGGTGTCCCAGCATGTTCGTGCACGAGATCTGGGAGTTTCTCGAAAAAGGGGTACCCGGTTTAGGGTTTAGGGTCCTCAGAGATATGCGGGAGTATGTGGGGGGTTCCCTAAAAAGGTTTCCAAAGGAACCATTTTGGGAAACTACCCGATGTTTACCCCATTCTCAAATACGGGTGCCCAGTGTTTACAATCAGGGCAGACAACGTTGTAAAAAGTTTCCTGCTTCTTGGGCAATTGCGCCAGGACCTTCAATGCAGGGCCACCTGGCAAGTTGTCAAAATGAGCATCCCGTTTTGGGTCCCTAGCACTATACGGCCCTGGTATTTATCGTATCCGATAAGGACCAGAATTTGGACAACCAGCACATGCGTTGGAAAGTGCATCGGTTCGTCCTTCTGCATTTCAGAACATTCCTTCGTCAGCTCGGCTATGGCCTTTCTCCTCAGTTGCGCGGCATTTGCTGATCGCTCCACACTAAACACTGAACCCAAACCCCAAAATCACTTCTTTCCTTTCCCACATTAAACCCTAAGCCCTGAAACTGAAAATCCTAAACCCTAAACCCCAAGCCCCAAACAAGCCCCCTAGTTGCCCCGTCATTCCCCCCAAAAAAGAAACTTAAATTAAGTTACCATAATGGGTATATATAGTAAATAATAATAGGGTTTCCCCCAAAAAAGTAACCCTAAACCCTAAACC